GGGCCTTGCTTTTCAGGGCCCAGCGCCTCCGTCCGGGGAGGCGGGGCGGGCAGTTGAGGGTCGGGCCGTCTCCTGGGCGACGGTCATCCCCTCTTCCTTCTGGCTCTTTGGGGCCGGCGGTAGCGTGAGGGCTTGGTGTCCAGGGCCGTGGTCGCCCTAGTCCTCGGGGGCGGGCCGGGGCGTTGGAGAGCCCTTTGAAACGCGTTTTTTCCCCTCACATACGTGGCCATGTTGTGACCCCCGATCACGGAGAGAGCTTGGTTACCGGGACTTGCTTTTTCGCAGTTTCTCTCGCGGAGGAGACTGACCCCCGGCCCCTGGTGAGCACACCTGGTTAGTTGCCTCTTGCCTCTCCCGCCGCCTCCGCCCCCAACCTCCGACCCTGCCCCCGCCTCGCTTCTTACTCCTACCAGCTTCCCCTCGCTCCTTTGCGTGAATCAGATGGTAGCCTGTCCTCTCCCCGGGGGCTGGCCCGGACCGGGGGTCCCCTTGGACCGAGGGTGCGGGAGTCCCAGGCTTCCTCTGTCACCTGCCTTTCGAATGGCAGTTTTGGAGGCAGGAAAGGATTCTGCACGGGCATTCGACTCCGAGTTGTTGGGTAACTTAGTTCCACGTTAAAGTTTGTCCAGTTCTGCCCGAGTTTTTAAAGCAGGTCGTTCTTTATTTGGGAAGTCGATTTAGGCAAGCGGTTCCCACTTGTTTACCTATTTTGGTCCCGGGGACAGTTGTTTCCCAAACCCCAGTCAGGGTGTTTTAAAGTAGTTATTTTCTCAAGGGAAGTGGTCATCTGTGTGTGTGTGTGGCTTTTGACACTTGGAGAAGTTTTGTTTGGTTGGTAGCTTTGGAACTAGATGTCTCCATTGCCCCCACCGAGGTGGCAGATAAGCCGGCCGACTATTTTCCTGCCTTTGAGTTCGTTGGCTTTGGGACCGCATGAAAGTAGGTTTTAGAAAAGTCCTTTGGAGAATGTAAACTGCACGAATGGAAATAGGGCCAGAGGGCGCGTCACACAGAGACTTAAGCTCTAATTATGGTCTTGAAATACTTTGGCCTTAACAAGGGGTAGGGAAAAAGTGCCAGTTTAATATGTATTTAATAGGTGTCATACAAATTATATTAGATATTTCCGTTTAAAAGGGCATTTTGAAGATTGGTCTTACTACTTTCATTCCTTGGAAGGTTTGCCTCTGAAGTGACCCCTGAAATATGATGTGTGATGGTTTGATATGAATGAGTAGAAAAGTAGGAAATTTTGGAAAGCAGTCAGCTACAAATCTTAGAGACTCCACCCACCCCTGTCATTTCAGCCTCAGTTATATCCTGTTTTTGTGTGATGGTCTAGCACAGTGGTCGGCAAACTCATTAGTCAACAGAGCCAAATATCAACAGTACAACGATTGAAATTTCTTTTGCGAGCCAAATTTTTTAAACTTAAACTATATAGGTAGGTACATTGTTATTAACTTAATTAGGGTACTCCTAAGGCTTAGGAAGAGCCACACTCAAGGGGCCAAAGAGCCGCATGTGGCTCGCGAGCCGCAGTTTGCCGACCACGGGTCTAGCATGAAAGCACATAATTAGGATGATCACTTATTTTCTGAAGGATGGGGGAAGAGTTTAAAAGTTGCTAATAATTAAAAATTATATAATATACTCTTACAAGATTCTTTACCTGGTAGCTTCCAGGTGGTAGTTGGTACCAGGATGGGTATAAACTTAGTCTCTTTTTTCCATTTAGAGTACAAACCTGGGTCACTACAGATTCTTGGATCGCTAAAACTGCAAGCAGTTTTCCTTAAAGTGTGTCACTAAGGTTGTCTTTCTGTTCTCTTGCACAAGCATTCTTATCAGTGACCGCATACTATATAATAGTCCTTCATCTATGCTTTTGAAGTTGTGTGTTTTTCTGCTCTTGTCTGATGAGACATTCTTTTATCTTTTTGGATCTTATCATTAGGTAATTTAGTGACAAGTTTAATTGGAGAAAAGGGGGAAAGATTTATTCCCCTGAGTTTGCTAATATTCCCGTCGTCATTTGGTAAATGAGTTTTGGTGCTTAAAAACATGTTGACTTCAGGCATTTAACAGGGGCCAAACACCTATTTTCAGTGGCCAAAGCAGGCATGGATGGTAGGATTCTAAGAGTAGCCAGATGAAAGGTGACTATTTTCTATGGAAAGGGTGGACTCTGCAGTGACATGATTTGTTTTGTAAAATTTTTCTAAAACAACAGATCCTATTCAGGCTCTCTTTTTCTTTCTTTCTTTTTTTTTTTTTACTTTCTTTTGGCAGATGTGGCCTCATGGATGAGCTGGTACATGACTTAGCCTCAGCCTTGGAGCAGACATCTGAACAGAATAAGCTTGGTGAGCTGTGGGAAGAGATGGCCTTGAGCCCTCGGCAGCAGAGGCGGCAGCTTCGCAAACGGAGAGGCAGGAAACGCCGTTCAGACTTCACCCACCTGGCAGAGCATACCTGCTGCTACAGTGAGGCTTCTGAGTCCAGTCTGGATGAGGCCGTTAAGGACTGTCGAGAAATGGCCCCAGTCACCAATTTTAGTGACTCTGATGACACAATGGTAGCCAAACGGCATCCGGCTCTCAACACCATTGTTAAGAGTAAGCAACATTCTTGGCATGAATCTGACTCCTTTACTGAAAATGCACCTTGTCGACCGCTCAGGCGCAGGCGGAAGGTGAAGCGAGTGACTTCAGAGGTGGCTGCCAGCCTTCAGCAGAAGCTCAAGGTGTCAGATTGGAGCTATGAGAGAGGGTGTAGGTTTAAGTCTGCTAAGAAGCAGCGTCTGTCACGCTGGAAGGAGAATACTCCCTGGACATCATCAGGCCACGGATTGTGTGAATCAGCAGAAACTAGGACTTTTCTCAACAAAACAGGAAGGAAAGAAAGGATGGAGTGTGAAGCAGATGAACAAAAACAGGGCTCTGATGAGAACATGTCGGAATGGTGAGATCTCTTACTTAGTGAAAGATTTTTCCTGATTAATTTGACCCAAAGTACAAATGCACAGTCCTGATGAATTTAACTTTCTTTCAAACCAGCTTCTGTAATATTAACTTTGTAGCTCTCCTTTAACCAATCAGCTCGTGTTTATCTCTAGCTTTTATTTTTATTGATTTTAGAGGGAAGAGAGAGAGAAACAGTGATGTGAGAGAGAAACATTGATTGGTTGTCTCTTGCACACGCCCCGACCAGGGATTGAACCTGCAGCCTGGTATGTGCCTTGACTGGGAGTTGAACCCACCACCTTCTGATGTACGGGACTATATTCCAACCAACTGAGCCACATCGGCCAGGGCTATCTCTAGTTTTGTTTTGTTTTTAATCCTCACTGGAGGATTTTTTTTTCCTTTTATCTCTAGAGAGAGAGTGGAAGGAAGGGAGAAGGATAGAGGCAGAAAGAGAGAGAGACAGAGAGAGAGAGAGAGAGAGAGAGAGAGAGAGAGAAAGAGAGAGAGAGGACAGAGAGACACAGTGATTGGTTGCCTCCGACCAGGGGTGGGGTTTTGAACCTGCAACCAACGGAAGCATGTGACCTTGACTGGGAATCCAACTGGTGACCCTTCAGTCTGCAGGGGGACACTCTAACCCAGCGGTTCTCAACCTGTGGGTTGCGACCCCTTTGGCAGTCGAATGACCCTTTCACGGGTCGCCTAAGACCATCCTGCATATCAGATATTTACATTATGATTCATAACAGCAGCAACATTACAGTTATGAAGTAGCAATGAAAATAATTTTATGGTTGGGTCACAACATGAGGAACTGTATTTAAAGGGCCAGAAGGTTGAGAACCACTGCTCTAACCACTGAGCGAATCGGCCAGTTAAAGAACATTCATGATTCTATTTCTCTCTGTCAAGAAGGCTATACTGTAATAGAAACACAATTGTTACTAAAAATGGTTTAAAACGTGTGCTTCAAATGCATAACCAGAATTTTATTTTCAAGACAGTTTGCTGCTGTTTATGCCATGTAGTTCATACATAGGTATTGTTCTTTAGAATCAGGGTCTCAGCAGAGGTTGGTGTGTATGTGTGTGTATTATAAATGCTGCTTCCAGGCACATGGAGTTTGTAAATGTTCCTGGCACTACCTTTACCCATTATGAATCATGGCTTTAGATACTTCTGGGCTATAATTCTGTTCCCTGCTGCTTTATAGTTTGACTATATTGAGTTTATTTTTTATGGCTCACATTCAAGTTGTCCGAACACATGGTAGGCTTTGAAAATAACAGTACTAAGTCCCATTAGTCTTATGTCAGATGTCATTGAGCCAGAAAAATTTGTATGTATTGGGTGCATATTTATAATGTCAGTTTTTATTTTTTACCTCTCAGATACATAGTCCTAGGAACAATGAAACTACCCAGCTTGATACTTTAATATTATCATTATTAATAATAATGTGTGATATGTGTTTCTCAGTGGGGAGATGCTGTTGGTATTTTGGATGGGGCAGTTCTTTGTGGTGAGGGATTGTCCCATGCCTTGCAGGATATTTGGCATTTTTGCTTTGTTTCCATTCACTTCCCCACTTCATATTATCAAACCAAATGCCTGTTTCCTAGGTGGGTTGAATAGTCTCAATTGAGTACCATTGTATTCTATTTTTATATTAGTTAGCATTTATGAAGCACTAACTGTGTGCCAGGCACTGTACTATTGTGCATAACATATATTCTTTCTTAATGCTCACAACTCCACTATTTGTATTTTATAGAAGAGGAAATGGAGGTTAAGCATGGTTAGATAATTTGCCCAAAGGTGGCAAAACGAAGTCAAACCTGATTCCTGAGTTCATATTTAACCACCATGTTTCCTACCTTTTGACTATGCCTTTTCCATGGCTCTTTTTTCTCTCATCTTAACTTCTACAACCTAAGGATGTATGACTTTTCTTAGGACTTTGCTTCTTTTGAAATTTGTCTGAAAAACAAAGACATAAATCTTGGGACCTCTGAGGTGAGGCTGTGTGAGTAACAGGAAAAGCTTTGTAGTTCTGTATGCCTGTACCTTTCCTGGGTGGATTTTTAATCCAGCTGCACAACTAGGTAGGCTTATGATTTGGCTTTTTAAATTTTCCTCTAATGTATATTCCAAGGTCTATTTACCCAATTTATATATAAATTTTGGGTTATAAAGATCTCTCCCCCATCATGCTATTAAACAAGAAATACTTCCAAGAATCCTCTTGGTTACTCTTTTCATAAATTTATTTGGATGTGCTAATTTATTCACAGATCAAAGTGTAGAACTTTACTTTTTATCAGTTGTATTGAGGTTTGTCAAATTGTATATGATCCAACTTGTAAAATTATTAGGATGAATTGATCATTTAGCTTAGCCTAGTCTCAATGGATAGAAAGAGTTCTTATAAAAAGCATGCATTAGGAGTTTTAGGATCAAAAACGTATGTCTCAATCAGAGAGCTTTATTTCTAATTTCCTTAAATTCACTGCTAACTAAACTTGGAGTCCTTTTAAGTGTAACCAAGAATTCTTTTTGCTTTTTCTCTTTCTGTTCTTTAATTCTACACCAGCCAGTCCCTTGAGTTCTGAAGAACTGAAAGTGGTTGTGATATAATAGCTTTCTTATGCCTGTAAAAAGATCAGTTATTATTTTAATATTTTTCTGTGCATATGTGTTCCATTCTAACAACTCTTTTGTAAAGTTACTTTCTACTGATTTTTATTCAAATTGCTTATAAAGCAGTTATTAATTAGGTGATTTATAGCCTAATTTTGCTCTATTCTCCCCTAACACATCATTTATGTGTTCTCTTTGAATATAGCTTAACTTCTTTTCTTTCATAAATGAGTTGGTTTGGTGATGGCCTGAGGTTGCAGTTAGGAGCCTTCCTCTGATGATGTATTAGAGGCTGATCTCACAGGAAAGAAAATATTCCTTTCTCTTGGAAGGCAAGTGACAGAGATAGAGTGCTAAACCTTCCCCCTCCTTCTCCAGCCCGAGCTGACCTTCTGCGGCCCCTTGGTGCCTCTTGTTTTCTTATTTTTATAGAAAATCAATATCCCTTCTGACACAAACAATAGCTCAGAAGCAAGAATAAATGGCAGAAAGCTGAGATCTCTGTCTATCACCTCTCACTTTAACTCCCCCAAACTCTTTAATTATGAGCGGGCTTTGCTCCAGGTGTTTGCGACAGTGAAATTGCTAAATGAGGACCATTTTAACCAAAGATTGGGTGATCAATAACACTCTATAGCAGTAGCTTGTTGGATCAATAGCATTCATTATTTCATGGTTAAGGTAAGTAGCCTCCTTTGCGAGTGGAGGTCATTAATCAGGGGTTTCTGGAGCTGTAGAAAAGAATATATGAGGTAGGTTGAAGATGTTCTGTTTTCTATTCTGTAAATAGGGATGCTGACCAACAGTATATTACCATTGTTGTAAATGATACTTTTGCATTTGAGAGTATTGAATAGCTAGAATAGTGTTCTTACGTAGACTTAGCCAAAGTTCTGCTAGTACATCCTTAGGAACAACTAAAAAAGACAACTTGGGAGGTGGGTCTGATACTATTGTATTTGAGGACCTGTCTCTTGAAAGAAATGCTAGAATTATTCTGTATGGTTCCAGAGGAAGGAACTTGGACTCATAGATAGAAAGTATAGAGAGTTAAGTGTTGCCTCAGTATAGATATAACATTCAGAAAATTAGAACTCTGTAAAAATGAAGTGAATTGTTTCACTAGGTGATCAGTTCTGGATCACTGTAGGGTTTCAAGCCTGGGGTTGGTGACCACTTACTGTGTTATTGTGAAGTTGGAGAGTTTGAACTGAATGACCTCTAAAGTACCTGCAAAACTGAGAGTCTATAATTCTTTTCAGTCACAACCTCCTTCCCATCATTGTAGCTTCATTTTAAAATAAAGCACCTGCTAAGCAGCCTCCACTGCCCACTAAGATACTTACAAAGGCATAAAACATCGCACACACGTCAGCAGAAATGAGGACTGACAGTTGGCCTTTGCCAAGATTTCCCCAAACTACAAGGTTGATAGAGCTATATTGGAGAGGCAGTTGGAAGCCCTCCTCAGCAGTGCTGAGTCTTCCCTGAAGGTGGACAGCGAGGCCCTGCATCCTTTCTCTGTAGTCACCTCTTGGTTCAGAAAAGCAAGGCTTATTTTGATCAGAAATTGAGCAGCTGCTGTTTGAGCCAGCATGTTGTTCCATCCTTTACTTTCCGATCACTATCTTTCATTTTCTATTTGGAAGCTGTAACTCCCAGAATATACTTGGATAGGGAATCGCAGTGTTTTCTGTGTATATATTTGTGTTTGAGGGTAGGGAGGAAGTAGTCACAGCATGTTGAGTCCTAGGAAATAGAGTCTCCAAAAATAAAGTTTATTGTTGGCATCGGCAGAGAAGGAAAAAGCACTCATAATAGAGCATTCTGGAAATTGTAGTGTTTTCTATGCCTTCATTTATTGCAGACTCCTAAAATGGGGTCAGAATCAGGCAGGGAGTGTTAGAAGATCCTGTCTCAGTCTAACATAGCTATCTGAGATAAAAGCCCACCAGTGACACTGGGAATTAGGCTAGGGCAGTGGTTCTCAACCTGTGGGTCGCGACCCCTTTGGCGGTCGAACGACCCTTTCACAGGGGTTGCCTAAGACCATCCTGCATATCAGATATTTACATTACGATTCATAACAGTAGCAACATTACAGTTATGAAGTAGCAACGAAAATAATTTTATGTTTGGGGGTCACCACAACATGAGGAACTGTATTTAAAGGGCCAGAAGGTTGAGAACCACTGGGCTAGGGGCTTTGCACATCCTCTTGGCCGATTGTAGAGGTGAGAAGAGCATGTTACTACCCATAACCAAAGGAGTACAGAATGGGAAGATAATTTACACACCCTTTCTGTTGGTGAATACCAGATTCTAGGTCAACCAGTCTGAACAAGAGGTCTTTGA